TTTATAAGATATAAATTGAAAAAAGTAGAATTAAATACAAAAAAATTTATCAACATAAAAAGGCACCATATATTCTTATACATTTACATAAATAGTTGAAAATATTTACATTTATAGGTAAAACAATTGTAATATTAATTTTATTCGTCATCAATTACATCTTCATCGTGATCTATGTCATCCTCATCTTGAATTATTGGTGGCTATTATTGCACCCTTCACCTGAGCACCCAGAACAAGTAGAGTTACAGTATAAACCAACTTTTCTGCACCCACATGAAACACCGCATCTTTTTTTGTATTGCCAAAAATTAATTTTCAAAAGTTCATCGAGTGCAGGTTGTTTGTTCATGCGTACGGGTAATAACAAACCATCTTTGGAATACCATCCCCAATCTGTTGCTCTAATATTTTCATTGCCAAGCCATAGACATATGAGCAGATGTTTTATTCTGTTGTATGGGATTTCAAAATAAGAACGCTTAAAATTTCGAATGTATAACGCCCCACTAGCTAATATACCGGTTTTGTAGATTATTATGCTCCGAAATGTACTGTACTATACTAATAGAATTTTCCGGAAAAAAATTCACTGGTTTTTTTAACGTATTTCCTTTAATTTTTAACGATAGAGTGTTTCTTCAAAAACGATTTGTAGAGGTTCTTAAGAGCTACAAGAATCTGTGAATTAAATCTTTTTGGAACCCTTGGTTTTTAAATGGGGTGAGTTTAAAGGGATCGGAAAAGATGGTGCTTGATCGTAAATCGATGCTTTAAACGGGTATATCTCGCCAAATATTCATTGTACAACAAATCTAAATGAAGGATAATTTTAGTCATTAAAAAAGCTACAATTTGGTAATTTGTATTTTTTTCATATATTCATATATATGAATATATATTCGTATATTTTACATCATATATTCAGGGTGAAGATCGATATCTTCTTTTGTCTTTTGATAGGTCTATTTATGCTCTTTAAAAAAGGTTTTGTGAGTTTTCTTCCAAAAATGCATCATTTTCCCGATATTTGATTTTGAATCTTTCAAATTTGGCATTTGAAGAAAACCGCTGAACATTGATAGGCCGTATTTCGGTTCCTATTATATCCCAAAAACATTTTAAAAAATGAATTGTATTTGTCTTTTTAAAAGCTACAAATTTGTTCTCTACAATTTTTTTGATAAAATGCACCATTTTCGAATTATTCGGGAAAAATCGATTAAAAACGTGGATTTTTTCGTCTAAAAGTTATTACTTTCAATCGCGAATAACTTGAAAAATATCATTTTATAAAAAAAATGTATAGCACATTTTTTGTTTAGAATCACTTTTTTAATCGAAACCTGTAGTTAAAACGTAAAAAAAAATTTCACCCCGGAGATGGGGTGGCAACCACCCCCTAGGCTTTGGCGCACTTCGGTTCGATATAGATTTTGATCCTTAGGCTATTACCTACCTTCTGTTAAATTTCAAGTCAATCCAGGAAGCTCGAAAAAATTGCGAGGTGAAATGCTTCATTTCCTGGACTATAACTGGTTTGACAGCATAAATCGTAGATTTATGTGTAGCTTTCAATTTTTATGAGTTCAGAATCCAGCAGCCCGCTGAAGTATTGGATTGTTATAATATAATTATTTGACAATATTTTGTTGGCCAACCACCTACAGCAGATTTCAGCCGAAATACATTATATTCCTATGTTCCGAATTTATTTCGTGCAATCTGTATGTGGCTAATTGGTCTTTACCAAAGCCATCGAATTAAGTACATTTATATGACAAAATCGTATTTTTTGTAGTTCATACTATATTTTAACAGGTTGACTGTGTTCCCAAAATATGTCAACCAAGGAACAGTGCATACCGGTCCCCCGGGACCGGTGACTTGACGCGAAAACGTAGCGTTACCGACCGTCGGGGACCGGTAGTGACGTTATTAGTTTTTACTTTTTTACAGTTTTATAATAAAAATTATACGAGTTTTAAGATCAGTTATTAACAGTAAAAACATTTTAAAACTTACCATTGTCATTCGTTTACATTCGTTTCTATTTTAACATATAATTAGCTTCAGCGGTTGTTAAATATGAAATATTAAAACTAAAAAAAAGCAGTAATATATTTATAAACGTGTTTAATATCTATTAATCTTCGTACTTGATTCTCAAAAACAAGGCCATATTTGTAGCAAAAAATATCCCGCCTAATTTTCTAATTAAGCTGGGATCCCTCTCCTCCCAGCTAATTTTTCTGGCAGTGACAGAGCTGTCCTTGAAGAAAACTGATGTCTGTGTAGGATAATTATTGCGCCATACTCAAAAAGGTCCGTGATGGGGCGACGGCGACTCCTTGTTATTTACTTTTGTACTTTTGCCAGGCTTTTTAAGTATTTTCCCTGCTTTACACTTTGTTTCCAGCTTTTTTGGAGCTAGTGACTTCTTTTCATCGGGTTTTAAAGAAAGGATACAAAAAAGGATGAGGACAGTGGCGCAACTATGTTTGTTTTATAAGAGTTTTTGTTAAAATGTTAATTTTTGCCGATATTTAATTAGTAGTTAATTTGTTTTAAATTTGAAACTATACTGTGACACAGTAAACATTTTTTTTTTAACAAAAAATTTCCAACACTGAACAAAATCCAAACATTAATTAGAGAAAACGAAGAGTTAAAAATCATAAGCAACAAGAAATTATGGGGACTATTGAGAAAGATGGGATTTCGTTGGCTAAAGAATAGAAGAAAATCCGTTTTAATTGAAAAAGATTACATTGTATGTTGGAGACGAGATTAGCTACGAACTATTAAAAAGTACCGAGAAGAAGGGAAAACAATTTTTTATTTGGACGAGACTTGGCTAAATGAAGGTCATACTGTACCATATCTATGGGTTGATACAAATCTGAAAAGTTCCCGCAGGCATTAATCGAAGGTGTATCTACTGGAATAAACAATATTCCCGTTGGAAAAGGATGCAGACTCATAATTACCCATACTGGAAACGAATGCAGTTTTGACAATGGTGGATTATTAAGTTTTGCCTCAAAATCAACCAAATATTACCACGAGGAAATGACTGCTGACGTTTTTGAAGAATATTTTGAACAAATGTTGGATTTAATTCCAAAAAATTCTGTCATAGTCATGGATATTGCTAGTTAGCGTGCAAAACTAGCAGAAAAATTGCCAACAACGGCATGGAAAAACGGAGAGATAATCGAATGGTTGGATAAATACGCAATTGAGTACAAAGAGAATTCGACAAAAAGGGAAATAGTATGATGAAAAAGAGACGCACATTTCTAAACGAAAAAAAGGGAAACACCAATGGTTTCAAATATTAGAATAAACAAATAAAGAAGGGAGTAACGGAATATTTAAGGATCTATTTGTTTGTGGATTTTAATATTGGTATCCATGTCTTGGTAATTTTTAGTCCTTCTTCTATCCAATTAAATCCTATTTGGGTGTTTGTATATTTCCACCACTTGTCGATATAACTGTTAGTAGTACTGTGAAGTTTTGTCCAGCATCTGTGTTTCTTCAAATAGTATTCTATGTTCTCCGCTTTCCAAAGCGTGTTCGGCAACGTCAGATTTGTCGATATGTCTTAAACGACAATGGCTTCTATGTTCATTTATCCTGTGTTTGTGTCTTTTTGTGGTTCCCACATATACCATTCCACATGTGCATATTATTTGGTATACTCCAGCCGTTGTTAATAGGTCGCGTTTGTCTTTCACTGATCTTAAACAATCCCTGATTTTCTTTGCAGGCTTAAAAATGGTCTTTACGTTGGCTTTCTTCTAGATACGTTGTTCATGGCCTTATGTATTTGTCTTCTGGTATAACCATTAGAGGTGAGCGTATTCTCCACTATATCTTAATATTTTGTTCATTATTCTTTTTAAGTTTTCCAAGTTGTCAGCTATTATGACTTTATCGTCGGCATACCTAATGTTGTTAACTAAACTTTCGTTCACTTTTATGCCGACTGTCTAGTTTGCTAAATTTTCTTCTATTATTTCTTCAGAATAAGCATTAAATAATAACGGTGACAGTATGTAACCTTGCCTGATCCCTCTCCTTATATCCACTTCTTCTGACTCTTCTCTTTCCATTTTCACAGTTGATCGTTGGCTGTAGTATAAATTTAATAGCAATGTTACATCCCTCACATCCAGATTATTGTTTTTGAGTACTTCTATAAGTCGGTCATGTTTTACTTTATCGAATGCCTTGTTGTAGTCTATAAAGCATACATAAAGATCTCGATTAACATCCAAACATCTTTGGGTCAGCACGTTAAAATAGTGCCTCTCTTGTGCCCACTCCATTCCGAAATCCAAACTGGGAATCACTAATCACAAATAACGTTGAACGACATAAATTTAAAAACCGTAAGCGAATAGATCTACCTGAGACAGATAATGAAAGAAACAAACAAATGAATAAAAAGCAAAACCAAAATAAAAGACGCAGGAAAACATGCTGCCAAATTAAAATGAAGCATCAGAGGACATAGTACCAGACTGAAAGATAAGAGATGGAACCACGAAATACAACAATGGATACCATGGTTAGGAAAGAGAAGCAGAGGAAGAGCACAAATGAGATGGGCGGATGATATTAAGAAAATCGGAGGACACAACTGGAAGCAAGTGGCGCAAAATAGAAGACACTGCATTGATTTGGGAGAGGCCCATATGTCCAATATCGAATTGCTTAAGGCTAAAGAAGAAAAAGAAGACCGACCGGCATTTAATGCAAATAAAAAAAAATAAAAACGAGACTTCTTTAAAAATAAGATATATAATGGACATGTAACTAAAAGAGGAGAAGGCATATAACGAATGATAAATGAAGATCTTCGATGATGTGAAAGAGCTAATTGGACAGAAATAGTCAAATGATGCAGATGACGTCACTACCTTCTTAAAAAGATAAAATAAAGGTGGAGTAGATATATCTACCAATTATGCATACTTTTTTTTTTACAGTTACAAAGACTTTACAACAAAATCCAGACCTCAGTTCTTAAAAAAACGGGCAATGATCTCGTAAATTCTCACATAGCAAAACGGCTTGAAAATCCAAAATTGAATAACGAACTCCAACCTGTTATCAAAGCTGTTTTTGGATTCGACGATAGAAGGAACGACCTTTGAACACCAAGAGACAAGTAAATGCCAGCAAAATATGTAAGAAATGTGTCGTCAACCAAGTGGATCTCTAAAAACACAACATGTTTGTCCAGGATGTCAATACGTTTTAGCTAAAATTTGTTGTTTTGTTCTATTTGGTAAAACATTAATAAACCCTTTAAATACTACACTACACTACATTTTAAATTTTATTTGTTTGTATTTATTTTTTTAATAACCCTTAAGGCTGTTTTCGCAGTTATAGCATACTGCGATTTGAAGTGAGCGTATCACTTACTTTTTTAAACTGCTATGTCAGACCGTACGTGACTTACTAATACATAGTTTGGATGTTTATTCAGTGGCGCCGGCCGACGGGTTGTTTAAAATAAATGCATTATTCTCCATTCAAATTAGTTTTGTCGGAATACTTTTTTTTAGATTAATTATCGTAGATAATGTTTTAAAAAGAATTAATCACATTTTTAATTTATATGTCTAAACATAGTATTAAATAAAAATTTGTGAAACGTGACTGCAAAAAACACCATGGTGTTTATTTATAATAAATTTAAATTTTGTTATATTAATATTAATATATAATTAATATTTTGTTAATATTTGTTAGAGAAAACTGATATTAGCGTAGTAAAAATTAAACAAAAAATATTTTTATTTATCTATAAAAAATTGGTACCTGCGAAACCATCATAATAGTAAATGTATTTATCTGGCAAGTATTTCGAGGCGACGCACTGCGAGGAAAAAGTTCTCTGAATGGAATATACATTATTTTAATATATTTATAGGTTGCAGTTACATAAGAAAAGTATCCAATTGATGAATAAAACACAAATCTTGGATAGTTATTTCATCATATCAGTGGCATTTCAGCTCGTCATGATCCAAAGGCTTCTTCAGAACAATCTTCCATTCGCCCCTGCCTCTGGCAACTTTCTCCATGCTTTAACTCCGATGGATTTTAGATCATCCTCTATGTTATCTTGATACCTAAGTTTTGGTCTTCCTCTGGATCGTCTTCCCACTGGTCCTCTTCGGTCGAAAATTTTTCTGATCGTTTCATCTTCATCTCGCCTAATTACATGTCCTATCCATCAAAGGCGTACTAATTTAATAAATTTTACAACGTCAGGTACTACACCTGAAGAAGCATCGTAGTTTACTTTATACGATCTTTTTGACCAAGCACCATCAGCTATAACGGTTATTAACCCATTTCCGTCGGAATCTACTTCACCAATTTCTTTGGCTAAAGCTAATTCCTCCCGTCCAGCCTCTTCTAAGGAATCACAAGTGTTTGGCCGATGATATCTGCAACTGTTTCCGTATGTTTTGCATACTGCCTGTAGGAAATCACAGGTATATTTAATGTAGCGTGCTGCTGCTGTATGTCTGAATAACCAGAACCATTCAAGTTCAGTGAATTGTTACCAGAATCCTATGTTGCTATCTCCTTTTCAATATTCCACATTTGACATTTAAAAGTCAATGTACTTATCAATCCGTCCATTTTTTCTTTGATAATCTCCATATTAGAAAAGTTGCATGAAAATGGAGAATGAGTATTTTTAAGTTAAATAAAAGCTTTTAAAAACGGTTGTAATATAAATAATAAATACTAAAGCAGTGCAATTGCTCTCCTTTTCCTTGACATAGGACGTTTACTGGGACTCATTTTTTATCTTGTCTCTTATAACTTATATCACTAACCTAATGTAATACTTAAAAATACGCGTAAACTAAAGAACTTTTAACTTATACCACTAAACTAATAATATATTACTTAACATACACGTAAACTAATTAATTTTAATGTTTTCAAAATAAATAAGAATACTGTAAACTGTAAAAACTAAGCAAGTTGATAAAGAAAATACAGGAATGAAAGAACTAAAATGGATTCTAATTCAAGCGAACTAACTGACCGTACCCATAGAGAAATAAAAATAAGACCGTACCGTACGCTCATGTGATTTGACGTCACTAATGCGATAACGATCGAGCTCAGCGACAATGATGAGGAACACGTTTCACTATTAGATTTCAGTATTTTTTAGCAATTTTCTTCAAAGTTTGAATACGCTTTTCTCGATTATTACTGGACACAGAAAGGTGAAAAAAGAATCAACGATTACAGAAAAAAAAACTCTTTCAACTGATGGGCGTGAAAAGTTTGGTTATAATAGAACGTTAAACAGTATAATCCAATTTTTCAACAGAAAATTCAAAAAAATAAAAAAAGTAAAACCATCAGTTTAAAGGCAACATAATTTCGTATAACGTGTCCAAATTTCGAGACATTTCGTCGGTAAATAACAGAGAAAAAATTTTGGTGCACCGATAAAACAGCCTTAACCAGAACCGCATGGATTAAGGGTTACAGGTTTTACATAAATAAGTTGCAACTTTCTTGACAAAACTAGCCACATTATCTATATTATCTATATTATCTATATTATCTATATTATCTATATTATCTATATTATCTATATTATCTATATTATCTATATTATCTATATTATCTATATTATCTATATTATCTATAGTATCTATATTATCTATATTATATTACCTATATTACCTATATTATCTATATTATCTATATTATCTGTAATATCTATATTATCTATATTATCTATATTATCTATATTATTTATATTATCTATATTATCTATATTATCTATATTATCTATATTATCTATATTATCTATATTATCTATATTATCTATATTATCTATATTATCTATATTATCTATATTATCTATATTATCTATATTATCTATATTATCTCTATTATCTATATTATCTATATTATCTATATTATCTATATTATCTATATTATCTATATTATCTATATTATCTATATTATCTATATTATCTATATTATCTATATTATCTATATTATCTATATTATCTATATTATCTATATTATCTATATTATCTATATTATCTATATTATCTATATTATCTATATTATCTATATTATCTATATTATCTGTAATATCCATATTATCCATATTATCTATATTATCTATATTATCTATATTATCTATATTATCTATATTATCTATATTATCTATATTATCTATATTATCTATATTATCTATATTATCTATATTATCTATATTATTTATATTATCTATATTATCTATATTATCTATGTTATCTGTAATATCTATATTATCTATATTATCTATATTATTTAATGGAGGTTTATCGGCTATAATTTATCACGCAAGATAATAGGTACAATTGGAAGATTGTTAATAATTGCTTTTCACTGATTTTCATACGACAGTATGAAACTATTATCGTTCCTATACGCGGTGACCAGATTCTTGTATAGTATCTAGCAAGCTGTGATGCAAGGTTGATACCTGTCGACTCTCTGTGCAGGTGATATTTGGATTGTGTGAGGTAATGATTTGAATTTAAGTCCATAATTCTCTATATCTCTGTTTTGTTTGATACGATTTATTTCAATATATAGTTACACCGCAATGTAATTGTTTTATTAAACATCTTAAATACGTTTTTCTATTATTAAATTAGACAAATCGAAAAACCATTTTAACCAAAATTTTATAAAGACAATTTTTTTTATATTTTATTTGATAACGTGATAAGTTGTTTTGTGTTTCATATAGCTGAAAACATCTGGCCTAAACATTTGTAAACTGTACTGCTTTCGATATTGCTTCTTCTTAACAGTAAAATATTTATATTTAGTTTACTGCAAGGTGGGTTTACCCTTTGCGCGACTCTGCTTATAGAACAAGAGAGAGGTTCGTCCTTTACAAAGGATGACAGCGAAATTATTTTTAGTTGAAAGACGGTGATTTACACACTAAGATTTTTCATCTTGTTTCCCGCTCGGCTGCTGAAAAATTTCGAGAACTAATCGCTTTTGTATACTTATGATAAAGTAGAACTTTTATGCAGGAAGTTGTAATTTGTGGGGCGCTTTAAAAGAGATGATTTTGTTCTATAAGGTGTTTTACGCACTTTAGTGAAATTAGAAAAATCATTTATACTATACAAAAGAGGTCAAGGTTAAATTTCACACATAGCGCCCAAGCCTAAAAGCATTTTCATTTTATTTCGGTTCTTATATTTCTACAGAACACGATACTCCTACGTTATGAATGAGGGGAGTAGGCAGATTGAGACCCCAAACTCGAACGGAACCGTATCACTCTTGATTTTGGCAACAAAATGGAAGCCGAAACGTCGAGTAGAGAAAACTTAGTAATTTTCATATATACATACCTGTACCTATATTTATACCCGTACCTCAGACCTGTGCCTTTTACAGTATCTCCAATTTAAGTTTTTTTAACTAGTTATGAGGGAACTGGTACTCCAAACTAATACTTCGTTAAAAATCGGGGTGTATAGCTAGTTCGAGTTCGTAGTAGAATGCTATACGCGCACTCTGGGTAACGCTAAATGAACTGTCAAATACTGGCAGTCAGATAATCTCAGGTTCTCCTGACTAGAGACAAATTGAAAACAATGCCGTTAGATTTTATCAGAAGATAACTTAATATTAATATAAAAAGCTCTTCTCAGGACCCAACGACTAGAAAACTGGAACCTATGATCCAAATCTGTCACTTAGAAGTAGAAAGCATAAGCTATTTAAAGAGCCAGTACTTATTAAAATTTCTAAAGATAACGACATCGATCTGGTCACTCTACACTAAACACACTGTGAAACGAAAAAACAACTGTGAAAAAGGGGGGAAATATCTGGCTTTAAACTACTGGATGCCACGTACCATCAATTATACGGTACAGGAATATACGTTAAACGAAACATAAAAAACGCATAAAGAAATTCATAATGTTGTTTTAAAAATTGTAAGTATCACCGTTTCTAACACCTACAAATTACCAGCTATAGCCTGGTCAGCTCAAGTCATCCACACACATCCGCATTCGTCAATATAATATGGAGGACTATAACAGTTACCATGAACCGTGGAAATATAGACAATACA